GGCAACGCAGTCTCAAAGACTGCATTCCAAAAGAACCTCATTTCATTTCCTCTTTGCTGATGCACATTGCCAAAAGATATTTGTCAGTTCATTTACTTTATGCTTAAATTTCTTACAAACTTATCACTTTGTTTCAATAATTTTTTTTTTTTTTTTAGACATTTTTATATTTGGTGAATGAGTAGACAGATCAATAAGCATCACACAAATAGAGTAGTGACCTGGGCAACAAGAAGGCGAGAGAAGCAAAATTAAAAAGTAATAACAATAAAAAAGCACAATCAAGAGAAATAATTTTGTCTTGTTTAAAAACGAGTAAATAACATGCAAAAGTTTTCATAAGGAATTACTGTATATTTCCATATATAAGGCAATCTAGAGATAGGACAAATCCCAAAATCTAGGTCAATTTTTGTGATATTTGTAGTATAAGACTGTTGTAACTGAGGAAAGGTTACTGAATAAAATAATCACATGAAGGTTGATAATGAATGATAATACTTAGGACAAGAACAACACATATAAGATTTGCCAGTGGCACATAGAAGTAGCCAACTGCTAGAAGTAAATCAAGTGAATACCACGATGAATCTCCAACTGCAGACCTACACATACAGTATTCACTATTGTATTTATGTAAATGGGGACATACCCATTATCGTCCATAGGTATGCTACAACAAAGACGATCGGCTGGGACCCATACGATGAAACTGTAAATGACGATGTTTATGATGAGCTCTTTGCATCAGATGGTGATGATCATAAAAATTTTGAAGGATTTTAATTATGCATTTGAGTGTCTTATTTTATTTTTTTATTTTGTAATGAGAAATAAAAATTTTATGGCATCTTAGAAGTTTTGTTGCTTAACACCAAAAAAAATACTTTATAATGTAGGTTGGTTATTGAAAAATAAAATTTGCATGTCATACTAAATATTGTGATTTAAAACCACAATGATAATTGATTTTAATTAAAAATATGGTTTGTTATGTTAAATGTTGTTATTTTATATTACTATAAGAATTAATGATTGGTCTGAAAGCATTCATAACTCTAATAATCAAGAATGAAAGATTTGTTTATGTTACTTGTATGTGTTGCTCAGCAGAACTTTTTAAATTGTTGTGCAATCATCTCTTGAATATTGCATTTTAATGGGAAATCAAAAAGTAAAAGTAGTTTTATTACATTTATAACTATAGTACAGCAATATAATGTGAATTGTTTCAACTAAAAATGTTTACATTGATAGTTACCATACCAAGGCAGTTGTTAGCTTACTGAGATCCATGGTACGGACATGCTAGCCTACTGAACATTGCTGACAACTTTTTGTAAATTTTAAGGGGTAAATTTTACGATTTAGAAATTGCCTTATATGTGCAAATATACGGCATTAACCAAATTTGTTCCTTTCATGGTCACTGAGAGAAATTTAATTTTGTTTTTTTTGTCATTTCCATATTAAGCATCTTTTTTGCATCCAATATGGTTTTATGCTTTGAGCTGCAAGGTCAAATCATAAAACCATATATATATATATATATATATATATTTGAGGCACTTTTATTCATTTTTTTCCAATTTTAAGGTTTTTTTTATTACATATTAAATTTCAAATATAAATTTTTTCCTTGTGGATGAGTATTAATTAATATAAATTTAATTTGATATATATTCATTTGGATGTATTCATCCTATGGTATTTATTTCCACCCACTTTACATTAAATTTTTTTTTATATTTCTCTTAATATTCTTTACTGTACATATTTGTTAATTTAATCCTCTTTAATTCTGAATTATCTCCCTTTCATATTTTGGGATTTATCTCTTATTATTTTATATAATATTTGTTTTTTTTTCATTAATTTCTGAAGGTACATTTGACCTATCTACTGTTAGATTTCTGCTGGGTATATTAAATAGGTCATCTCATTTTCTCCTTTCCTTCTCTCTCCCTTTCCCCTCTGGCCACCACTCATATCAAGACTTACACCACTTCCTGTTTCTTTTGCCACCTTCCCTTCTATTCTTCATCATCCCCCCCCACCACAGTTTTTTTTCCTTTCTTTTCCTCCCACTTCTGTTTTTTTTTTTCATTTAAAAAAATTTATTATCCATTGACTGTTTGAAAAATTCTGTAAATTTAATTTTACAAGGTGAAAATGATCATGGTAATTAATGGTACCTTAATTCTGATTGTATGAAATTTTTTTTATATATATATATATATATATATATATATATATATATAATCCAACAAAATGATAGGATAAAGAACAAGTAGGAAATAGATCTTAATCTAAGATGTTTCACTTTATTAAAGCTTCGTCAGAGATCAAGATAAAAATGATAAAAAGCAAATAGACGCAAATTAATGGTATGTTGTGTTTGGTTATTTCTTATTGGTTAGATACGGGATGCGTAATGAAGTAACAGATAATATTCAAATATGCATGAGAAACATTCTGGATGCTAAAGTGCATAAAAGTGAAATGCAGCAGGATCTTCTGAAAAATTTTGTTTTGGTTTGATTTTTCATTAAAGCATATCTTGTCTGCATTTTGCATATAATCTTCATTGATTTCTATGTATTAGAAAGAGATAAATTAGATTCATGAATAATGGATCTATAGAAAAATGGTGATGTAATGTAATTTTTTTTTTAAATGTGTGTGTGTGTGTGTGTGTGTGTGTGTTTTTATATATATATATATATAAAAAATCATGGGTTATTAATTTTTGGCTCCATACTGTGTAACAGTATTACATTTTACATTGAGCACTTGGTGAACATGGAATGTCTTGCCTGTAAAAAAAGCAGAGTGTCAAAAGGAAGTCTTTTCCCCCTCTTGACATTGCTATTATTTTAACTACCTTCACTTTTTGGCAATGTTTATTGTTTTAAAAAATGATGATTAGAATAAAAACCGATACAAATGAATTTCTACATGTTTTTTGTTCTTGAGAATTTTCTACAAAAATATTAAACACTATTAATTAGAATGTTTATTTACAAGAATAATTTTATATTTACAACATTCTCAAAACTAATACAATTAAATCTAATGCAATATTTATCATTTACAAATTTATAAAGAAATAAGTACAAAAAAAATTTTATTCAGAAATTTTTAAAATATTTACTAAATTATTAAAATATGTGAACCAACTATAAGGAAATTATTTACCATGTCAAACCAATTGGCAATTAGCCAATGTTTTGCCAACCATTCCAATAAACAAGACAATAAATAGTGTAATTAAATCATATAATAAATAAAATGTTTAATATTTTTGTTGAAAATTAAAGAATTTACAACAAGAAAATTTATAAATTGATTTTCATTAAGTGTTTATATTTTATTACAATTTTAATCATTGCTTTGTAAAACAATAAATAATGGTAAGAAGTGAAGGCAGTTAAAATAATAGCAGTGTCCAGAGAAAAACTATTTTTTTTTCAGACCTGAAAGCCCAAGTTTACCAACTTCTCTAAATTTTACAGCATTAGCATTTTTTAATTTTTGAGGCATATTTTATATATATATATATATATATATATATATATATATATATATATATATATATATATATATATATACATATACAGTGTAACCCGGATATAAGAGATTTTATCTCGTCCCAAATTAAAGCCTGTGTTAATGTATATAAAATAGACCAAATCCGGATATCGAGAGACTTCTTCTCCGGTCCCAACAACTTTCTTATATCCGGGTTACACTGTGTGTGTGTGTATATATATATATATATATATATATGATTAATTTATATGTAAAATGCCGTGACTTCCATTAGTCCATCTGTCTGTCATATCCTCTAAAATAGCCATACACTGACCGATCAAAACCAAATTTTAGGGAGAAGTATAAACAGGTAAACGGGGTACAAAGTACAACTGGATTTACTAAGGTGTGTAAAAACCACAAAGTAGGGGTTTTGTCAAAATATTTTTCCAAACAAATCAGCTTATTCAAATTTCATTGATTGGTTTGCAAAACTGAGTGAAACGTAGAGTTTGTAAATCTTGACAAAAAATGTTAGTGATAACTTCAACAACACTAAAGACTGTAGGATTTTAACACGTCAGTGTGTTGCAAAAAATTCTAGTACAAATAAAATTTGTCACTTAGCAGATTGATGTTATATTCAACACCTTGACTCAAGAGTTTTGTAGATGAACTTTTTTGTAATTGTTCAGGCCACTATTCAGGAGGTTGCATCTTTGTACTAAATTTGATGTGAATAATTTACACACTAGTTTGGATGCACTTATTGGTGTTAAAGTTGATTTTTTGTGTGTATGTGTCAAATGTCATGGTTATTCCCACCTTTCATCATTTTGTCTGCTTATACTATTTCTTTATTATCTCTTTTGACTGTGTGTCATATATACCAAAGTAATTTATTTTTAATTCAATATTTTTATTACTTTAAACATTATTATAGTAGATATTTTTTATTTGAAATAGATGCCTGATTTTTATTTATTAAACAGTGTGTATTATGTTTATTGACTTGCACATTCAAGAAATATTATTAACTAGCTTAAAAGCTGCCTTTATTGGGTAGCATTTTAGTTAGTTCCTGTGGAGAGTTCTTGATTAGGCCTTCATCACAATAGGTAGGCATGAGTAGATGCAATAGGCAGCAATAAACTACAGAAGAACTCAAAATTGATCCCTGCATTTAACTATTGCATTAATATTTAAGATTACCTTTTAAAAGTTCAACAATAATTCTTCTGCTGCAACTTAATTTAAAGACAATTTGATGTATGAAGGTCCTTACTTTCTGTACAAACAATTATTTTTAATTTATGGGTGACTTTTGCTGGATTTCACAATTAATTTTAATTATTTTCAAATTTTATTACAAGTTATAAAAATTGTTATCATACAAAAAATTTGTAAAAAAAAAATCCATGTAAAAAAAAGAAAAAAAAAAGCCCCCCCCACCTCCAACTCAAAACAATTGCAGTAATGAAAACAGAGATGGCAACAAGAGGCCGAGATAGGGAGGAAGAGATGATAGCAAGAGGATGAGATGGGGAGGGGATGGCAAGAGATTGAGGTGTGGAGGGGGAGAAGACAGCAAGAGAGACAGATGGAAAAATGACAGAGAGAGAATCTGGAATGGTATAAAATGGCCAACCTAATCAAAAATTAGGATTTGATTGGTTGATTTGATGCCAACCCAGACAAACCATTTCCTCTCATCACAGGTAAACTGCATTTTTTGTTTCACCTCAGGTCTTTTGAATATTATGAGAATTCTTGGTTCATGAGTAGAGCAACATGTTTCTGTTGTTCTAAGCAGAGACGTTGCTCTTTACTCCCGCTCTCATATATCCGAATAATATATACTAGTTGTAGTACATGTGAAAATTTCATTGTTTGGCTTTTTGATTTTTTCTGAAGTATCACAATTCTTAAGATAAAGATTGAATAAGCTCCTTGTAAGTTATACAGCTATAAAATACTTGTGGAAATTCCCCTATTGCATTGTAAAATATTTGAGCTTAACAACTTTAACAAAATATTGCAATAACAATCATAAATATGAATGCAATGCATTTCAAGAAGTAAGAGGGTACAACGGAAAAAAGATTTAAATCTGATAAGATTTTCCATTAAATGGTACTATTTTCTCTTCTTTCATTTTTTTTTCTTCACTGAAACCAAACAGCATCACTTATATGTCTTTTACGTCTTTACTAGTGATCAAAATGGAATAGTCCATTATTCATTTGGTATTTCTCTCTCTCCTTCTTATATATATATATATATATATATATGTAGACTGAGGTCAACACCAAGTGACAACAGTATTTCATGCTTGAAAGCAATTTTAGGGCTATCTGAAAAAGATGAAAAAACTATTTGCAAAGTACCTGAAAATTGTATTCAAGAATGAAATGGACTGTTGCCGCTCAGTGTTGACTTTTACATATACAGTGTCCTCTTGATATTCAGCACTTTTACCTATAAATATAGCATACCTTAAAACTATATATATGTGTGTGTGTGTGTGTTTTTTAAGGTATGCTAATGTATATATATGAAAAGGATACATAAATTTTTATTATATTTTTAAAAAAGATTTTTAATTTAAATATAAAATTCACAGCATAACCTCTCCTTTGTGCACCTGTGTTTTCATACCGACATAAATCTCACATTAGTCCAATAAAATGCATCATATGAAAACTTATCCCCACTTTATCATAGTGACATTGCCTTGATAAATTCCTTCAGAGCAGAGGACAAAACACATTGGCTAAGAACAGTTTTTCCTCTTTTTATTCATTTTGTTCCTTTACAGATACAATATCTGAAAAATTATAAATTATATATATATATATATATATATAAAATATTTTTTATAGTAAAAAAAAAAAAAAAAAAAAAAAAGGAAGACCAGTAAGATATGTAATCTGGTGTTCTTATTGATAGTTTTATTTTTACAAAACAGTGCTCAATGTAAATTTACAGAGCATGATTCCAAAATTTGCTTGAAGATGAAAAAGAACTAATGCTTTTAACTTAATATAATTGGATTTGAAGTTTTTGTTTTCTGTTTTTGAAACATGGTAATTCCTGTGTAGTGATGAAACCATATTTTTAAATCAGTTAATTTATAATATATAAAAACAACTAGGGATATTGATTCAAGCGAGTACCCATGAGAACTTACACTTATAGTAACAAGAAATAACATCAGATTAAAATATGTATGTATGCATGTATATTTGGGCGCATGGCTGAGTGGTTAGAGCATTTCCATTCTGATCATGAGATCTGGGTTTGAATCTCACCTTGGTCAATTTGTTAGGAAGAAGAATTCCTGATGTTAGCGGACTGGATCGAGGTTGATCCCAGCATGCAGTACCTTTGGAAAGTGCCTGAAAATCATAGTACAGGTTAACCCTAGCCTTGTGAGTGAAATTGGGTAGACGGAACTCTTGTGGGTGCTGGCCTTGTTCAAATTGTTGATCACGCTAGATAACACACTCTTTCCCCAGAAACTTTAACTAAGGTCTGCTCAGCATAGTTGCAGTATAAACCACAGGTGAGCCATGTAGGTGTTGAACAAATACAAATGTGCCTGAGCAAGCGTCAGCAATAGGGATTGGCTAGCCACTCTAATAGATGGTTATCCCCGAATATGAATGGCCAGCTATTATTATATGTATGTATTGAGGGCTTGAGCATGCTGGCATTGTTCACATTGTTATCCATGCCAGATAACACGCTCATTCCCAGAAACTGTGACTGAGGTCTGCTAAGCATAGTTACGGTACAAACCACAGAGCAAGCGTCTGCAATAGGGATTGGATAGACGCCCTAGTAGACGGGTATCCTCAAATATGAGTGGCCAGCTATTATTATTATTATTATGATTAAGTGAATGGACTGGGATCAAACATGGATCAAAATATGACAGAATGATAGGAAGAATAAAAACAAATCGGAAACGTTTATAAATCTAACAGGTTTCGCTTTTGTTAAAGATTCATCAGAGAATGAGATTTAAAAAAAAAAAAAATTCCGGTATTTTTTTTCCTATGTCAATCTTAGAAATTTTAATTCTAACATTATATATATATATATATATATATATATATATATATATGAGAGACAGACAAATTTGGTAGATGTTGGTGTGCAATTAAACAAATAAGTTATCCATTAAAAGTGTTTTTTTCTTCTCTCAAATAATGAATCCATTTTCTCTAAGAAATTCTTTTCAATTCACAAACTAACACTAGAGCTGGAAGTGGACACAGCTAGATTTTGGTCTGAAAAATTGAAAACAAGCCAAATCCTGTCTGTCACAAACAGCCACATTCCTTCCTTATTTTCTTCATAGTATAAGAAGGCATCAGTGTCCTTGAGCCGTTATTTGTTTTGCATCCAGTGATAAAGGAGCGGACAATAAGACAAATGGGTAAGAGTCTCTATTTAAAATTTCCTGCAGGTTAAAGTTTTGAGATTTAGCTCTAGAAAAATAGTAAAAGGCCAAAACAATTGAATAAATACCATCAAGTCTGTGCATAATTCATTGCTATGGTTGCCAATTGTCCTGCATTTTGAAAATCAAGGATTCTTTTTAAAAATAATACATCATTTTTTTTTTTTTTTTTAAGATGTACTTAAATATGAACAGCTGGAATATAAATGAAATTTTGCCTGTGTACACCTCTCTCTCTCTTTTACAACTAAAATCATTTTTATACCATTGTTCGTCCAATACAAGGCCCAAGAGCCACTCTATGGAGGAGGTTACTGAATGGGGTTGTTATAAGAGTATAAAAAGAGGGAGTAAGAAGTGCATTTTATGTGGATATGTAGGATAGATAATGGATGACCATAGACTTGAAGAGGTTAACATTTTAGTGAACAGGAAAGCATCCTTTTATAAGTCTCTTCCAAACTTATGGGAAAGAAGCTGTCTGATGAGAACTTCCTCTTTACCAATGGAATATGAAGCTTTGTGGGGTTCGTGGGCCTCTGGTTGAGTACATGTCTCTAAGGAAGCCTGTTATCCCCTTGATTAGGAAATCCAGAGCCACCTTATCTCGCATTTTCATTTTAGTGATTTGACATTCTGATGTATTGTAAACTTAGAGAATTCTCTCCTGAATTAATGTTTCACAATTGTACTTTGCTCTCTCTTCATCCCAAGTGATCATAGGAGATAGGTATGCATGCTCTGATGTAGTTATACAGGTTGACTTCTAACAGGTACTGCTTACCACACAATTTACCCAGTAGAAGATTAAAAAAAAAATTACCAAATATTTTTTAATAGACATTGTTTCTTATTCCCTTTAGGGTTGCATAAAATCATCACTTGAACAGCATGTATCTTGCACACTGTAGTTTGCCCTCCTTGGATTAAAAAATGTTCAATGTAGCTGGGGAAGATCCTGATGACATGGACTACAGTTGAGTTTCAACATGCATCCTGAATTTACTTGATATGTGAATACCAAAGATGTACATCGATACATCAGTTTACACTGTACCAATGATTGGGCATTGTCAACAGCATGGTGTAGGATGTATCGATCCAAGTGCCTGTGGTTGTATATAATGTGGTCAAGTGTATAGTTATTAAAAACAGTAGAGACTATCTTTTGTTGTTCTACAAGCTTGTTGATACCATTTTTGTAGAAACTGGTTTTTGTTGGAAGAAAGTTACAAGATAGTTTTCAACTAGTTGTACAGAGTCCATTTTTTTTTGTCATTTAAATTATTCTATAGAATCCAGAAAAAATAAAAATCCGACGGAGCCAAGTCAGGAGAATATGGTGGACAGAGACAAGAAGGACAGACAAGAATATTTTGATACAAAAACTTTTTTGAAGCTAAACCCCAGTTTTTAAAAAATTATGATGCAAAAAAGTAAAAGAAAAAAAGAAAAAAAAGAAAGGCATTTCAACACATTTTAGGGTGTTGCAAAAAAATTCTAGTTATGCAAAAAATGGTGTATTTTGAGTTAAGACCCCTCAAAATTTCTTTTTTGTTTTCATAAACAATGAACTTTTCGTATCACATTAACAATTTATAAAACTGATCCCAAAAATGATACTAGATCCTGCATCAGATTACTCTGCAAAAAGATGCCTCCAAATCAAATCAACATCTTAATTAGATTTAAATAGAGGTCATTTGATCAATGGTTGGAGGTCATGGGTTAGTGATGACCTCACTAAAATATTGGAACCATTACTCAAGCTACCAAAGGGGAAATAGAAGTATATGAAGTGGTATCCATTTGTGGGTGGACATGGATCTGATCAATGCTGATTGAGTCAACTGAGTAAGGGGGTCCGATATTGAATTCACCCACCCCCAATGATTGCACTTATAAAACAACACAGACATAAAATATCAGTAAGTGTATTTTGTGGAAGGTTTACAGAAATATATCAAATAAACAAGGTTGATATTTAATATTTTTTAAGAAAATGAACTTTTTACTTGTGAATAATTATACATACATACATAGATAGGTACATCGAAATATGTACTTAAAAAGATAATTACCTGCTTGAGTGTGTTATTATGTATATAAGTAGGTAATGTCACAGAGACACACCTAATAATAATAATAATGACAGTTAAGTAAATAGATTTTTGCATTTTTGGTGTTATTTGCTTGGCATTGTTCTTCTCTATTCCATTAATGACAAAGAAAATG